AGGTAAGCTAGGGCTTAATTGTAATGAATAGGTAAGTTGAGGGTACGATAGCCGATTGACTCTGGATTTCAAAGTCTCTTGTCAGAGGTAAGCCTTGGTGGCCAGTGGTGAACCGGCAATGGTTTACTATCCGGACGGCAATGGTTTACTATCTGCACGGTAATGATTTACCATGCGGCACGGCCATAGTCTACTACCCGCACGGCTTCCGGACGGCAAATGGTTTACTATCCGCACGGCAATAGTCTACTATCCGCACGGCAATGGTTTACTATCCGGTGCCCTGGCTGTCGGTGAGCCTCTGTGCAAGGAGGGAGAATGAAGGAGGACTTTCGACTATCGTACCATTAACAATTTAATATAGATTAGCTAAGGTAATTGAATAGGTAGATAGGATTATTTTTATTAAGCAATTTGAGATGCAGGCACCGCTAAGCTTTCTGATGAGAATTTTCTCTTTCTCCATCAACACGGGCTGTGTTTCAACAACAATCTCGATGAGGACTGGCACCAGTTTTGGAGGACAACGTAGGAACCGAACCGCATTCAACATTCTGCCTTTATCGAATGGACGACGGTAAGTTTTTTTTACATTTTAATCACTTTATTATTTTAAAATATTATTTATTTGCCATTGTTTCCATTTTATAATTTTTTGCTCCTAAGATTCTAACATTCATTTACTACTACGCTAATAAAAAAAATTTATCTACAGGATGATGTGAGGTGGGCAGTGGTGGGAGTCAGCACGTTTCAGATGGTTGTCTCATGATGATTTACGTATGATGATGGTGGTGTAGGAAGAATCAGCGCGTTGGCTGTTCGACTGACAATCAGAAGTTCGGATGAAATCATGTGTGCCGACCAGATGATGGTGGTCGGCGCAATGAAGTACTGTAACGACGATTTTTGAACTAAGGTTTAGTAGTTTCGTCTTTTAATTTTTCTCATTGATTGATTTATTGATTGATTGATTCATTCATTCATTCGTTCATTCATTCATTTTATCACTCAATCTTTCAAATCATTTTTCCATTAATTTATTTTTTTAATCATTGAATCATTAATTAATTCATTGACTCTTGACTCACTCAGGCATTCAACATTCTGCCTTTGTCGAATGGACGAAAGTAAATTTTGTTTACATTTTACTCTCTTTATTATTTTAAAATATTATTTATTTGCCATTATTTTCATTTTATAATTTTTTTCTTTTAAGATTCTAACATTCATTCATTACTAGGCTAATAAAAAAATTTGTCTACAGAATGATGAGAGGTGGGTTGTGGTGGGCGTCAGCACGTTTCAGATGGTGGTCTCATGATGATCGTTCCGATGACAATTCGAAGATGACAATAAGAAGTTTATTTGTGTGCCATTATTTTCATTTTATAATTTTTTCTTCTAAGATTC